AGTTAATACTTCTATAAAAACTGATTTTATGCTCGCTCTCTTTTTTTTTAAAACTCCGAATCATAAATAAGATTATACCATTTATTAATGAAAGTTAGCATAAGTATAAATTCTTTTTCTTACAAATATAATTAATCCCGGATATCCAAAATTTTTGGAATACGTTTACAGGTGATTAAATTGCTAAGTTTAGAAATTTATGAGTTTCTATGATAAAGAAAAAAAGTGTTTTCTTTTTAAAGCAACATAATCCTACAAACCAATATTGTTTGAAGAAATGTTTTCTTTGTAAGTTTTATTTGTTTTCAATTTAGCTTTTAAGAAAATTATAAAACATGATAAGATATAAATTTCTAATGTAAATTTTGAAATATAGCACTTTGCTAAGTTATAAAATTCACAATTTTGAAACTCGATATTAATTTCTTTTAATTAATAGAAAAATAACTCCCATACTCATTAAGTCGTTAATGTGAAGAAATAAATAGAGGAAACAATCATTTTTTAGAACGAAATTCTTAAAAAAGTAAATAAATAAAAAAAAATTGTGTTTGGCTATAGAGCAAAATTAGGAAATTTAGTCACAGTGGCTAGTTGTAGCATTTTTAAGAGTGGCCACTTTTACAAAAAATTTAAACGATTGAAAAAAAAATTCTTGACATTAATAATGTAAAGCATTTCTTAAAATCTAGTCAATATTACAAGGTTCATTTCTAAAATGAAGAAAAAATTACGAAACAAGTGTGAAATAAAATAATTTTCATAATGTAAAATATTCATAATTCCATATTTATTCAAAAAATATATTAAAATGCATTTTCGTCTAAAAAAGTGGCGATCGAATGGCAAACAATTTTTTAATCGCCATTTGTAATAATTGTCACCCTGTGGCCGTTGGTAAGCGTTTAGTTTTCCCTATAATATATGCCACTCGCATTCAATCAGATTTAGGATGATTTCATACATTATATATAGAGAATAATTTCATAAACTTTTTCTGACACATAATTTATTCAGAGTTAGCTAACTTTAACTTTTTATTTTATTTTAGAGAACATTTATGGTATTCAAATAAAACCAACCTGTAAAAAAAAAAAGTATCTATTGATCTCGTACAAAGTGATCCACTGTACGGTAAGAGATTTAAGCATTGAAACTGTAAAAATAAGTTCGTTGTTAATTAAAAAATCTTTTAGTTAATTAGACAAAGTTTAAAATCAGCTAGAGTTAATTGATTCCAAATCCTGTAAATATCGTCAAACGCTTTTTTTTTCTGTTTGCAATCGTAAAAAAATACTTGATTTTTAACTATTTTTTAATTATATACTGACTGTTATAGTTTATACTATATTAAAAATACTAAGGAGATTACTGTTTAGTTACCTTAATCCGTCTACTATTGGGGATGATTCCATGTTTTCTTTCAAATTTAAAATGGTTATTAACTTTCTTAACAAGAAAATCAACTTAAATGTTTTTCTACTTACATTCTCACACTTTCAGAGAAGAAATTTTAGAAGTGACAGGGAAGTGATAGCAATACAAATAAATACAAGCAAAAATAATCTTATATATATAATTCTCTTACGTGGCTCCCAAATTTTGGCTGTATTTCTTTTCCGCCGCTGGCAGCGTTTGCTTTGTTTTGTTTACGTTACTATATCTCTTACACGGCGAATCGACCAATGAGTGCCGCTAAAAATGTCACATGCCAAATCTAGCTGAGGTGGCTCAACATATAGCGCTTTTAAAAACGGAAACTGAAATAACCAGAGAGCATCAGCTGCGGCAATCTCATACAATTAAGCTAGGCAGAAGTGAGTAGTCTTTGTCGATAGATCTCTATTTTAGTATTTTGTCGAAAGCGCTTTTTTTCACGAATTTATATATTACGAATTTATTTGACGATTTTTGATTTTTATATCACGAATTATACTAGAGCACATTTCTAATAGGTTTAACGAATTACATGCCATTTATTTGAATTCAAATTTATTTTAATGACTTAGTATTTACTAAAATGATGTTACTTTTTTTTAAAAAAAAAAAGTTTTTATATGGATTTGAATGACTGTTTTGAATTCTTAGAATTTTGTGCACTTGCGAAGCAAATCATATAAGATTGCGTAGCAAATTTCGGGGGTTAGCGAGCAGGGGGCCAGCCCACTAGTTTTATATATTGCTTAATTTCAAAGACTCCGTTGTATGGTTATTAAGCACTTATGAATTTGTTTTACTAATTTATGTGTGGCGGGGGCTAAAATAGTTTAAAATTATGAAATCAAGTTAAAGCCAAATCATATAGAATGACATAAATTTCACTTACACTTTAGATACGAATACAAAAAGGATTATCTGGTTTTTAGAATGAACAAATAACTTAAATATTTTACAAGTTATTAATTTTTTTTGAAAAATTGCCATTTTGGCGATATTTTTCCACCTCTAGATGAAAATTATCAAAATCTCAGCCTCATTCTCTGTTTTTGCAAATTTTTATAAACCAGATAATGCAGCATTGGGATCAGTTTTGAAATATTAAAAAATTAGACCATAAACGCCTTTCATTTTCACGAAACTGTGGCTTTTCTCCATATTAATGTTTTACGCCATTTTCAAACAAAGCAGAGACAGCGCAGGCTTTAGATAGGTTAAACTTGACCTAACAGTGATGAGTGATGCATAACTATTGCAAACTCACAGCAGTTATGCAAATAACATATTATTCGCTAAAAAACATAATTTCATATGACGATGGCGTATTCGAAAAACAGTCTTTATTAATGCGAACGGCGTAGGTCGAGAGTAACTTGAAATCAGCCGACGTCAGCAGGATTTGAACTTGTGCTAGTTTGTTCATGCTATAGAATAAAAATAAATGTTAAAGATACAGAGAAAGATAGATATATAAAGTTAAAGATATAGAGAAAACACGAAAAATAATATACTAAAGATTAATGAAAAGAAAAGAAGAAAAATTATTAAAATAAAAAAATCGGAAAGCAAAATAATGAAAATATATATTATCTTCTAGGACCTAGGTCAATATGAGCAAAGGTGGGATTAAAATAATTTAAAATCTGTTAATTTAATATTGACGCTTAAAGGCTGTTCTTAACAAAAAGTGAACACAGTCTAGTCTCACTAAACAAATTGGGTTTTGATGATTTTAAACCCAATTTTTGTTATCCCAAGCTGAATACTGATTGGTCAGAAATGTTTCCGCCTATTTTTTTAACCCATACATTAAGACCGGCTCATTATGGTACTCCTAGTATATTTGAAAACGATATTAGTTTGAACGGATGGAAAGTCAAATTTTTCAATTTAAAATAGTCGTTCTTAGAACTAACATCTTATCTACGTTTCACCACGTGTAACGTTGTAGACATTATTTGAGATAATTAATCTAAACTCAATAGAAAAAACTAATCTGATATATTTCCGCCTTGAAATCGTTCCTGACCTATGTTTTTTTTATTAGCCTTTAAGTCTACTTTTAAGTAAATTGGAGGAATATTAAAAAAGGCATCTGCTGATTTTGTTTTGTTACTAAAAACGAAGAGAATAAAAAATATAAAAAAAGCCTCAGTCAAGGACAAGGAAATATATTAAGAAAACAAGAGTAGTAAGTCGTTTTTGCTGAGATAATATCGCATAAAAAGCATTGTTTCTAAGAAAAATTATCTATAGGATTAGAATATGCTAAGTAAAAAAAAAATAAAAACTTTGTTTCGGCATATTATTTGAAAAATTTTATAGATAGTTTTTCTTTTATTTTTATACTAGCAATAGAAAGGATCATAAAAGTATAACAAATTTTAATTCCTCTTCCCCTAATAAATATTTTGGATGCTATGACAAGTTATTTTACGCGACTTACGAATACATTGGCTATTAAAATATTCCTCATATAAAAATTTTAGTATTTGTTTTTTTTAAATGTTATGTCAAATGTAAATAAAGTGATGACGCATTAATTTATTTAAACATTTTTTTTAAGAACCAGAATTGGAATATGAGATTTTATTATTGCTATCTACGCAGAATAAGTAAAAACAGTTCGCAATGCGCTGTTCATAAATTGTCACCGCAAACCAAACCTAACATAATCAAATGAAATTAGTTTTATAGATTTTTTTATGAACAATAAAATGTACTTTAACTTTTAATTTTTTGACATAAATTTTCCTCTTCTAGAGAAATATAACGTTCTCTAAGTTCAGCTATTTTTTTCGTCCTGTTTTAATAATTATCCCTCATAGTCTAACTTCGATTGAAATATTTTTTTAAGATATACCTTTTAGTTTTTTCATTCAATTAATAAGCTTATGGAAACAAAACATTTCTAAACAGTTTTACGATAAGCTGCATTTGAAATCTCTTGCCTTTTGGATATACAATGATGAATAAGACAATAATTGCTATAGAAAGGAAACGTAATGTAATTTTTAAAAATTATAAAGATATGAAAGGTAAAAAAATACATAAATACTCAAGGTAAAAAAAATAAACACAAAATATAGAACCACTTCGGATTCTTATACGATTAGTCTTTTCTTACTTAAAGCTGAACTAGAAAATTATAAGAATTGTAAGAATAATACGCCATAATTTTTGGTCCGCTTAGTAAGTTTATAGGAACGAGTCATTATAATGGATATAAGCTTGTAATTGTTATCATGGATAAATAAAGCGATTATGGTAATGGAGAGAATTTTTCAATGTTCTATTTTATACACAATTTTTTTTGTAATCAAAATAGAATCATCAAATGTCATTTAGATTCGATGTTATTTTTGAAAACCAAATAGGATAAATTTTTTATTTCGCGAAAAATCAAGGCGGTTTGTTAAAGCAAAAATTACAGCTTTGTAAAGGTTAAAGCAGATAGTTGTTTTTCATTCTGTTCGTAATATTTCCCACCCTATCTTGTTTTGAAAACTATTTTTTCTTCTTCTTTTCGTTTGACTTTGGTTAGATTTCAAGTCACTCTTTTCCACCTATCTGCAAAGCCTTACGAGGACACTTTTTTATCGTTTGCACTTACGGAAATGGTCGCTTGCATGGTTGGGGACCAGTTTTTCACTTTTATTCTTTCGAAACCGAGTTACGGTCTTCCAAGAAAGCGAATCCCAGAGGCGATGATCACGCGTTGGCGATAAGCTGCAGATCACTCCCCCCCCCTTTAATTTTTTTTCTTATATTCTTTCTCATGGCTTTGTTGACGCGTAAGAGAAGAGAAGGAAAAAAAATCAGAAAGTGTGCGCCTTGCGTGTAAATGCTGCTGGCCTTGACACCGGCGTCACCTATCAGGCTTGGTCCGAAACTGGATTTCCTGCAAAGAATGTCACGCGAAACGCGCGTTGGTCCCCCCTGCACGACGCGCACGCAGTTAGTTTTTCTTTACTTTGTCTCTCTTTTTTATTTTTCTCTCTACCTCTCCTCTCCCTAATCCAAAAGAGTTCTTGCTCGCTCACCGAATGTTCGGTCCAGAAAAAGCTCATTACAGCGGCGAGCATTATCGACGAATCGTCTATTCCTTTTTCCCTGCAGCGCACGTGAGGAAGTGTTTTTTTCCTCTCTCTCTCCTTTTCAAACCATTTTCGGTATAATGAATTTAGAGACTTGACTGGAGAGAATAAAGTGTGAAATCTTATTTTGTGAGAGGGAACGAAGGATTTCAATTTACTATTTAAATGTTTTAAAATATTTCTGAGAGAGGTATATCGAAAGGTTTTTTAACTTTTAAAAGATTAATTTCGTGTCTTGTTTTTAAATGCTTTATTTAGAATTAAAAAGGAAAAATATTCTTAAGTGTGACAATGATTTTCAGATTAGATCAAAATAATTTCGAATGAAATATCATTGAAAACTTCTTATCGAAATTTAGTTTATTGGATTTAAGGGTTTAGGTACTTTTAATTATCGTTTAGTGGTAATATTTTAGTTGTTTTTTTAGTTTGAAGGTTTAGACTGTGGTATAGATGATTGCAGAAGTTAATTTTGTGCATGAGGAAAAGAGAAATACTTTCTGAATTGCAGAAAGAATAAATTATTTATCTTTAAAATAAACTTGAATAATATAATTAATTTTTCTTTTTACTTTAATTTTATATGCGTTAAAATTTTAATGAAACACATTTAGATTTAAATCAGGGTTATTTAATATTTCTGTAATAAAAAAATATATTCAAATTAACTAAATATTTTGTAAAAAAAAGTAGTTATTAAGTTGTAAAGAATTATAATTTTTTGATATCTTTTATAGGATCTTACAAATATGGAGCTTGATAGAGTGTCCTCTCTAACAAAGAAAAACTAAATATGGACCAGTATGAGTTTGATCCATCAGATAGCAGAGATGAGCTACCTCTTCAACCAATACGTCACCACGAGCCAGGAGAAATTACATCTTCCATTCGAGAAATGCCAAATATATCTCACAGTAACTTTAGTTCCTATGACCAAGATGCTAAACATGTACTTAAAAGATCGCTGATGGACACCAATGATCCCCAAAATGGGATCACAACGCAACCACGTTCCAAACAGTTAGACGACATTCCTCAATCTTTTGTAATACAAGCCCAGCACTATGTTGGTTACAAACCGGAAAAAAATAAAAAGTGCCAAGTTTGTGGGAAGCATGCAAGAACGCCCTCTGATTTGTTACGACACATGCGTGTGCACACTGGAGAAAGACCTTTTCCATGTGTGGCCTGTGATAAAACTTTTAAGTGTAAAAGAAGTCAACTCACTCATCAGTACCTCAGCCACGGTATTAAAGATGGTCTGTCAGAACACCGACTCAATGTCTTGGACCACCGCAAAGTCAAAAGAACCAGCACAAAATTGAAAAGTAGTTTCAACAACCAGGTGCCAACTATAATTGAAAAGATGATGCAGAATTCATATATCCAACATCAACTTGAGCAGCAACAACAGCAGCAGCAACAGCAAAACCAACAGCTTCAACAGCAGCCGACTGTGGTACTTGACCAAGATGAAGATACAGAAATAATGGCTGGAGATGAAATATCTAGTATGAGTGATGGCCCAGTGAGTTTTGTAGGATTATTTCACCCCCAAGAAGATGTTTCAGTGAAAGAAGAAGTTAAAGAACAAGATCATGATGATCAAGGTGAACATTTAAATGCGACTGAAGCCGAATGTGAAAGTTACAATGGCAAAACTGATGATGCCAGTAAGAGTAATTGCAAGAGTAGTCTTGTGTTCTCCTTTTCAAAGAAAAAGAAAAAAGACCATTCAAGAAAAGTCCCAATTTTGCGAATCAAAACACATAAATGTACTCATTGTAAAAGGCAATTTCGATCAATTTACACTCTTAGATATCATCTGAGGTCAATGCATGATGAAAAAGTTTATTTAAGTCCAGCCCTGGAGAGTAGACTGAAAAAAAGGCGATGGATACCTCCCCATGTGCGACTTCAAAAGTCCAAAATAACTTCTGGCAGTTCTGCAAACAACAAAAAGGAGAATTCATCAAAAGAAAAACAACAAAAATCAAAATATCCATTTTTACCAACATACCCAATTGATGATATGGAAGAAAAGTTTTTGTCCCATATTCCACAGAATGCACCCCATAACATACAACAGAATAATAAAAATGAAGATCCACTTGATTTGCATTTAAATAGCAATTTAAATCTTGAAATTAAGAAGGAAAAAATAGATAGCTATGAGGATGACATAAACAATAATATTTCGAGAATGAATTGTGAAAAACCAGACAAACATTTGAGAAACTACACTGGGCTCTCTGAAAATGATGCAAAACAGCTGCCATTCTTTACCAGTACATTGCCGATTTCTACAACAAGTGTAAACACTAACACAGCCAGTACAGCTGCTTTCACATTGAATAACACGACAGCAACAAATACTACAAACCCTTTTGTGCTGCCTCCACACATATTTTTTCCCAGTACACCAGCAGCCGAAGAGGGCTTGATGAATGAAAAACCAATATCGTGGGAGAGTTTGCAAGTCACTTCGGAAAGTGTTTTAATCTCAAAACTGGAAGCAGTTCACCCTGGTACGCAACAAAAATATGTGTTATACAAATGTGGTGTTTGTGGCAAAGCATTCGCCAGTTTGAGGGTTATCTGCGGACATTTAGCACTGCATAATGACGCCAACAAAGAAAAAGACTGTGAAAAGTGTGGAGCATCCTTCAAATGGAGAACAGAATTGGATAATCACCTGGAATGCCATCAAGCATCTGACCGAAAATTTGTTCCTACCTCGCCATACTTACCAAGTTACTATGTAAACCCATTTCCTATTCCTGTAGTCACACCAAGTGAACAAAATGTAATGTCAGCCACTAGGTTGTTACCTTATCCATTTTTTCCTATGCCACAACAAATTCCTCCCTTGATGCAACCTGGTTTTTTCCCATTCTTTGCAGCAGCAGCTCTGCAACCACAGATGCAGCAGTCTGGAACAAATAATCACGAAGAAAACCGGAATCAAACATGCTCTCCTTTAGAAAACAATCTAACGACTGAGAGTTATGATGACAAAAACTTGGTTCAGAATTGCACCTTTCAATGTAAGCTATGTCCTAAAACATTCGATAGAATATTTTCTTTGCAGAGGCACGAGCGGATACATAGTGGTGTGAAGGCCTGTTTCTGCAAGATTTGTGGCAGAGGATTCAGTGAACTGAGGAATTTAAGGCATCACATCATACGTTTCCATGCGGAGTCCGCACAGAAAGAACCACTGCCATATAGGAGGCGTCCAAACAGGTTTCGCAATGTTAGTAGTTCTCAAAAGTTAGTTTCGTTCCTCAAGAAAACAGCAGTAAGGATATTGAATTCAATGGGACAGAGCAAAATGGAAACAAATAACTCGGATGATATGAACTCTGAAAAGTTTCAAACAGATGCAACTCAAGAGACCAATAAAGTCCAAGTATTTACTTCCCAACAATCTTCAAGCATTTCTAAATCTCTTCAAGAACAAAACAATGCTGCTGCAATGCCAAAATTATTTGATGCTACCTCTCAGATCACTAGGCTATCACCTTCTCAAGATCTAAGTGAAGTTCCTCCTCCGAAACTATCTCCTGGATTAGCTGAAGATGTAAATATTAAAGCTGAGTCAGATACTGTGAGTACTAATGGTGCTGCTGTAGAGGTACTCCAGGACCCAAAGAGATCCCTTTTGGGTAACAGGCGTAAAGGGAGACCTTTCAAGCTGTCTACAATGGCGACCCATTCTGTAAATATTGGAGAAGATATTTTATTTCCATTGACAGACAGCTGCTTCCTTGAAAAACAAGCAGAAATGATTTCAGAAAGCAGTTTATTGCAAGCTACAGAGATCCTAAGTAAGTTCTAAAGTCAATTGATACATTCTAAACTAATTTTGTGTTTATATTAAACAATTCATGCATGCAAGCAAAATAAATGAATTAAAAAAATAATAAGAGAGATAAATTAATTTTGATGTGTCTTTACCACTTTTACTAGAAATTATACTATAAAATGTTTTTTTCTTCCAAATTATTTCAATATTATTCAACAATTCAATTAAAATGCAAATTAGTTCTTAACAATTCAATCAAAATGCTTTTATATGATGTTTTTATGTTAAAAAATAAAATAAATCATTTACACAAATTGAAAACTTAGTGATATTTTGATTAAAAAAATTATAGTTACAATAAAGTTGTATGTTATGGTAAATATAGCTGATAAGGAAATTAAAAATTTCCAGATAGCGTACAAAGGAGGAAGAGAAATTTAGTTTATAATTTTCTGACTTGGTATGGATGATTTTGAAAATTAAGGGTTGTGTTTAATTTTTACGAATAATATTTTACTTTTATATGTAGTAGTATGATAAAATATATGTTGAATAGAGTAAAATTTGACAAAGTGTCATAATTTATATAAATTATGATGATATACGTATAATAATTTTTTTATCTACTTAAAATTATACATGAAAAGTAATTTAAGTATGTATAAAGATATGATAGTTATCAGGATTTTAAAATTAATAGATCATTTTTTAAATATTATAAAATAGTAATTTTATTTTATTAAAAAATAGTTAAAATTAAAAAATAGTTGAAAAGTATAAATTTTAAAAAAATATAATATATATAAATATTATAATAATATAAAAATATGTATCATAATTTTAATATAATATATATAAAAATATATATAAATATTAAAAAATAGTTAAACTATGTATGAATTGATGCATATTCTTTTAAAAGTGAACATAATTTTTTTTCTTTCTTTTTAACAAAATTCTCTGGAGAAATGCTGTTTTCACTCTATCATAAAATTATAATTTATTAAGAATTTTCTTAAATGAAACATTAAATATTAGAAAAAAATGATTAAAGGACATAGAAGTAACAAAAGAAAGTGGAGAGCAATTAAAAAAGAAGCAAAAGTATTTGGTTTACAATGATAAAATCAGATGGTAATTCAGTACAAATGCTCCACATCATGTTCTCATATTACAACATTGTTCATTTTGAAAACTGCTTCATTTGTTTATAGGACTGTTTATACTTTAAACAACCTATAACTTTATTTTTTTGGTAATTATTGATTTTTCTTTCAATTATTATTAATGAAAAGAATTATATTTTCTAGATGGTTGCTTAAAATCAGATGTTGCATTTCCTCAACTAAATTACTTTAATGTTGATCCATCATCTAATGAGCCCATAGATATGAGAAATCCAGTTGTCAAAGAAAAGAAAGAATCTGTGCAGAAAGAAGAAACTAAGAGTAGTGATGAACAAGATAACAAACCAGTTTTCCCTACAGACGCAGGGTAAGAATCACTATTTATTTTTAGTTTCAATTTGGCCTTAATTATTACGCTACACTTGTCTCTATAGTTATGAAAGTCAATTACGAGGTTTTATAATTAATACTTGTTGTCATCCTACTTAATATCTTTTCAGTGTTTTTAATGCAAAAATTATACTTTAAAAAATAATCTTTAGGGCCTAAAATAAAATATCTTATAGAAATTTAACTTTAAGAATTTTAAATAATTAATACTAAAGATAAGTGATGGAAAAAATAATGATTACTAATTATCTTTTATAATTAGTTGTTTTTATGAACAATTTTAACTATTTTTTTATTTACATTTGTTTTATAACTCTTTTGTTAATTATTATGAAGAAATTTTTTTTTAACATAAATTTATTATTGACAGCTTGTTATTTATATTTTATAAAAATTGTTGCCAGCTGAAACAGTTTTCTAAGTATTAGAATGAGAATATATATAGGGGCAAAATATTTTTAGGGATAATTTTTTTTCTAACACTTTGTGAAATGCAGGAAAAAAAATAAAATATGCTACTGTGTTATAAAAATAATTGTTCACATTTACTTAATAATAATTTTCAAATATTCTTTTCTATAATGTTTTCAGCATAATTATGATGACAAAAATACTTTGGATTTTTTCAAAATATAGTAACATTTAATTCACAAAATTATGTTATTATATTTGTAATATCTCCAGTAATTTGTAATATATATATATATAGGTTCATTATAATACAAAGTATCAAAAAAATTCATGGACACTATTTTAGGAATTTTAAGAACTTCAATAATTGTGATTTTCATTTATTACCAACAGTTATTTAAATATTTTTGAATGAATCATGATCATGAATGCTAGTATAATGCAAGTTGTAATTATTATTTTTTAAATTTACAGACTTAGTTTATACAATGACACTACTCAAAACAATTCTAGTCTGAAGTTAGCTGAATCCTATGAATCCAGATGCTTATTCCCTTGCAGTTACTGTCATAAAAGTTTTAATTCCATCACTGACATCAACAGGCATATGAGTTTTCATGCTGGTGAGTTTATTTTATAAAAAAATAATTGTCCATTTCAAATTTAGAAATAGTAACAATAAAGAGCGGGTATTATAAAACTAGTTTCAAGCAAAATAAAAAATGGTACACCAACTGATAATTCATTTTATGAAGTGCAAACAATAGGTTTGACAGCAACACTCATCTCAAATAATAATGTTCTTTTTCTATTGTTGCTAAGTTTTTGATTATAATGTTTTAAATACACAAAAATTAATACTACTTGGCATGTCATATAGTTATGTATTTGTTTCAGGTCAATTTTATTTTGTCTTTGCTAATGTGGACATAAATATCTACAAATAAAAAGAGATTAGGCACATTATTTTAACAAATCATTACCATCACATGGTGGTAACTGCACACAGTGAAATGACATTCTGAAAATAATTAAAAAAAATTCCACTAATTTACTCTGGATAGATTTATTATTAAAAAAGTGAAACCAAATGTGAAATTCTATATCCAAACTAGGTGGAACTGAGTTTGAATTCATATAACAGTTTACAATGAAAATGATTAATCTTGCAGCATTCAGAAAGGTCTCAAAATCTGATAGAAACAAATAAAAATTGTTCAGTTTTTCTTGAAAAATCTAAAATATATAAATAACATCCTTTAAAATTATCAAATTGAATTACAAATACAAATGTAAAGGTTAAATTTGAAAGGCAAAAACCATTGATATTTATACAAATATATATGATACTTTATAACTGAAGTCTATATTTTATATGAAAATTTAAAATTGTTGTAATGTTATTAATGCTAACACAATACAGTGTTGCCACCAAATTTTTATCTTAACTATCTGAATTCAAAAATATTTGATGACATTAAATGCCATTTTCTTAGAGAATAATAGTGTTCCAGTATGACTTAAGTGTTGTCAACTTAGATAAAGAAATACCCACAACACTTAAGACAAATAAATTGATCAATTTATATTTACAGATTTATCTACTGCGATAATCACCATATCAATGTTTCAATTCTTCACATGATTTGAAAAAATGAAACAAAAGATATGTGTTCTAAAAATTTTCTATTATGTTGTATGCTCTGATCATTTTTCACCATTTTATTTTTAGATATAAGACCATTTAAATGCCCATACTGTAGTTATTGCAGCAGAACAAACAGTCAACTAAAAGTTCATATGATGCGCCATGAAGGTATCAGTAATCTATTTAAAGTATATAATGTATTAGTAGTTAATCATTTTTTAAAATAGTTTCTTGTTAGGAATAATAAATTGTTTAAATTATTGTAATAATTTAGTGTTCTAAATATGACAGAATTGTTGTTAACATTTTGTTTAAAATGTCACACTAATGTCATTAATATAGCATTGCATATGTGTTATTCATGTTATAAATATTTATGAGACGAAAAGTTTTAAGTGTTATAAATTTTAGTCAGTTTAATTGGTTTGTCTACAATAATATTAGGCTCTTATTTGATTCCCTGCATCATTAAATACAAACTCAATTTGGCAATCAAACCATTTTCTTCTAATTTAGTTATAGGTCAGGGGTGGCCAACTTGCGGCTCGCGAGCCACATGCGGCTCTTTGAAGGATTATTTGTGGCTCGCGATCAATTTAACCGTGTTCCCTTTTAACTTTTCTGCTATTATATGTAAAAAAATTATTATCGTTCCGTATGTGTTTCAAAATGTCTTTTAAATTACTGAGAACAAATATGGAAGACTAAGTGCAACGTTGTTCAATTCAAGGTGAGTTTTCCATTTTCAATATAATTATGACACAAAAATCATCTGGAGAATTAGAATTAATAGAGATGCAAGAAGATCAAGCTCTACAATTGAAACAAAAGTCGACGTCGATTACTGAATTTTGGAAATTGGTACCAGAATCGAAGTATCCTGAATTAAAAAAGGCTGCTTGTCGAATTATTTCAATATTCGGAACAACGTACTTATGTGAATCATTTTACTGCACTTTAAAATTCGTGAAAGCCAAACACCGATCAGTATTACTAACCAGCATCTCAAAGAATTACTGAGAAGTGCTCTGTCACTAATTATTCACCAAATTTTAAAGAATTATCAAGACAAGTAAAATAAATGTGTTTAATTTTTAATATTTAAATTCAATACACATATTTTGTACTTTTACTTTTATGTTCTCAATAAATATAATTCAGGTAAAAAAAAAATTATTACTTTTTTTGCATACCTTTCAAATACGTATTTAATTGCGGCTCGCAAAAAATTTCAAATTTTGAAAAATGTTTTTAGTGCTCTGTCACTAATTATTCACCAAATTTTAAAGAATTGTCAAGACAAGTAAAATAAATGTGTTTAATTTTTAATATTTAAATTCAATACACATATTTTGTACTTTTACTTTTATGTTCTCAATAAATATAATTCAGGTAAAAAAAAATTTATTACCTTTTTGCATACCTTTCAAATACGTATTTAATTGCGGCTCGCGAAAATTTTAAATTTTGAAAAATAGCTCGACTCTTCAAGAGCTTGGCCATCCCTGTTATATGTATATCTGAAAACCTATGGATAACACTTTGCCTATTTAAAATAATTCTCATATAAATAAATTAATAAATACTAATTAAAATTATATTAAACTAAACATTAATAAACTTTGATTGTGGTATTGGCAGAGAAAATAAATAATGTATTATTTGTCAGACAAAATAAACAATATATTTCTTTCAGTTAAAATTAACGAAGTAAATTTAAAAATTCGCTGTAAAAACTTGAGCATTTTAGTCCGTGTTATTTTTGATAAAAATTTCATCACCCATAATTAGTAAAAATTGTCATTTCAAATAGAAAAAATTTTGAAATGAAAATTGCTTCATTTAACAAAATATCCTGCATTTTTCATACATTGTGTTTTATTAGATTTTCTCTTGGTAAAAATTTCGGTTTTCTTGTAAAAAATATCCAAATTTTGCATAAAAATGTTATTAGATGTATTCATTTACTGTACTCATATTTAATTACAATTAGATGTCACGTGAAATAAGCTTGGAAAATACAATTCCCAGTTTATATCAAATTAAATTTATACAGTGATTCAGCAAGTAAAAGGTTCAAAAACATATACATAATTTAGCTCATGTTTTAACAAAATTTTAATAGCTGTATTATGTTTTTTAGGTATCAAACATTATATGTGCCAGATTTGCAATTACAATGGAGTAACACAGTCAGACTTGAACAGGCACCTGAAGACAAGAACCCACCTTTTGAGGTCCAGAAATGTGTGTGCATGTTGTGGAACAGGTTTTCACACGCGCAGTCTGTCAGATGAACATTATAAGAGCTGCCACCTGCAGCAGGCAAATTCAAACAATAACACAGAACAGAGTGCTAAAACGCAACCTGAGGCTGCTCCCACCAACACCACCAAGGTATCGACGTCCAACAACAGAAATCGGGTGACACGCCTGCAACAGTTTAGAGCACCGGATGAGAAAATCAAAAGTGAGCTCTACCAGAAACTTTGTGACCTGAATAATATGGGGCTTACGTTAGGAGATTTCTTGCAGCAAAATTCCACTGCTGTGAACTTTGAGAAATAAATCACGCACAACATTCCAACAGAGAGATATATTATGAGTATTCAAGTTAAATTGAGTGCTTGATAAGATTCCAATAATGATTTTTTCCCTTTAAGATGTAACTATAAATATTTTTAAAAATTTCAAAATATTTTATTGTTCATATATCGTACCTGGTTTTGTATGGTCTTTCTTTTTGAATAAGGTGTTCGAGATTCGCCATAAAAATGCTTGCCAAAAGAAATGGTTTCTTTTGCTTAGATATTTTGTGCTGTTAAAAAAATATTTCATTCTACAAATTAATAACTTATAAAGCATAAATAACAAAACATATATATTAAATTTATATGAGCATTTGGTATGAAGAGCTTCTGTGGCATTTTACTTTTTCAATAACACATAAATACTTTAATGTTTATTTTAACTTAATTTATATGATGCAACCCTTTTTGCTATGATTTTCTCCTTTTAAAACAACAATAATAATAAAAAAAATCTATGGTTCAACGTATTGGCTCAAATAATTGTTCCTTTGCCCAAGCAGGATGGTACGTAAGGATGTTACCCATCATATCGGCACACCATTTTGTTGCAGCCAAATTAATTTTAAAATTGTATTTTAAGAAAACAGAATTTTAGATGAGATTATCAAAATATAAAATTTTGAGTGATAGAGAAAACAGTTAAGGTTAGTAATTTCTGGCTGAGAATTCAAGATGAGCTTGAGTTATTAAAATTAAATTGGAGATCAAAGGTGAATCAGAAGTCGTCATGGAGAAATCTTCAAAGGAAGGCATTGGCTCACATTGGGCTGTCTGGCCAACTATGATGATGAGTTATTAAAAATTGAATTATAGACACTTGAGTTATTGAAGTTCAGTTAAACTTAGAAACAGTATTTAGGCTTAAGAACTTGAGTAAAGTCTGCTCCCTTGTATGAATTTTCAGTTATAGCAAAAGGGTTGTAAAAATTTATTTATTGGTATATATGGTCAATACTTTTCATATATTAAATGCAATAATTGGTGATAGTTTCTAAAGTATAGTGTTATTTAAGATTATAAGTGTGAAATCAATATTTTTATGTATAACACATTTTTTTCCCAGATGGCAAAAATGTATAGCCGTCCATTGCAAAATACGTAATATACATGACGAAGAAATGTTCTCTATTTTCGCAGTGTTACTTTTTGAAAATCATTTAGGAACTGCTCAAGCACCATTATTTCTCATGTTATTGAGAAGTATATTGATCTCAGAAAAATAAATGTGATCATGCACAATTTATGTGTGGTCTACTTTAAGAACAATTTGTCAAAATTTGACAAATACTCAGGGTATTTTCAGATCCACAGTTCACTGAACTGAAAACAAAATTTAGGAGACATTACACTGGATTACTAGATCTGCAGCTATAAATTATTTAAATATCTTCGATTTAACTTATATTTGTTTAGTTGCAGTGATTTCACAATTAAAAAAAATTAGAAATACATTGCAATTTAGTAGCTTATAAACGGAAAAGAAAGCATAAAAATTAATATTTATAATTTGAATATTTAGAAATACTGTACAGAAAATACATAAATTATTAATGAATTTTTATTTAGAAATAAATAGAGTTAATAGGTAAAGTTCCAAAGGGCAACAATAATAAATTATTTATTTTCTAATAGACTGCTCTTTAAATGAGCTTAAAGTAACGGAAATATGAAACAGATATATAAAAATATCTTTAAAAAGTTTTAAAAAGGATTCACCATGAATATTTAAATGGTAATTCTAAGAAATAAGACATTTGTTTGTCTTATCCACCTGTAATAGATGAGGTGACTCATCTACCATTTTGGCATTAACTATTTCCATTTTCCCCAAGTATTAGTATATAGCAAGTTTGCTCTAAATTCTATGAAAAAATCACATAGGAATTTTTTAATTGATAATATACAGAATTAAGGCAGATTTTGTAGGATTTTAGTCTAAATTAGCAACTCAGTCAATTAAAATCAACAATTGTATTATTCTACTAAAATCCAAATTTTAATAATGGCAACTATTTAGGATGGAAAGGGTTTAAATGTGGGTAATACGGATCAAGGCACAGCACTTTTCTGTCCCATGGGTTTACCCACCGTCTTGCCATGGTTTTATAAAGCTATGAATATTCCCTGCAAGTTTTTTGAAAACTTCGATGACACTAATGCTGTACTATCTTTGGCAAATTCAATCATTATCCAAGTTTGTTGCTCCTGTTTTGAAAACAGAAACAATAACATCTTGACAATATTATATTAGAACAACAAACACAAAGCTCAACTTCTCATCACATCAGTGTGTGATATTGGAAGCAAGAGTCTATTTGCTTTAAGATGAGGCAGGTATGTAATGTGCAGTATGAGAGTTGTGTTATATAATGCTTCTACAGCAGTGTTGCCACTGTTAAAGTTCATGTATGAAATTTGCAAACAAATGTCATGGAATAATGGGCCTAGTTTTCTCCTTAATGGCTGTGAGTCTTATCTTTTTCATTTAAGGGCCTACTGTCTAGGCCTACTTGTATCTAGTAAGTGATTTACTTGATAAAAGTTAAAGAATTAGAAAAATTTGATAAAGAAATTTATTTGGAGACAATTATTTTAGCGAATCTTCATTAGCGTGTGAGTAAAAACTAATAATATTAAAAAAATAAAATTAGTAAAACAACAAATTTAGGTATTAACGTAATACATAATTATAAATTGTCTTACTTTTTCTATACAATATTGTTAAAACAGTATTGTCACAAAATTATTATTTAAACTAACCATGATCAATCATGTTGTTAACTAATTATCGTAACTAAAATTTTGCTAGGCTTTTATACTTTAAATTCATATAAACGATTCAGATAATTTGAATTTCCATCAATATGAAATTTAGTTTTCTTAAAAGGTCCTAATAATACTTAAAATATTGAATTAAGTTGTCTTTAGTTCTAAACTAAATTAGATGTAAAAATTTTTTTTCATCTGTAAAATAAAATAAGTACAAATTATTTTGCTAAATTTAAAGGATTTGGTCACTTAAAATAAACTGGATAAATTTTTCATGACAATATGGCCAATACATAATATTTTCACATGAAAAAAAAACAACTTATAATTTGTGTTATTCTCAATTTTTAAAAAATTAACAGTAAACAATTTCATTTAGTTTATCAATGTACTTTTAAAATAAATAGACAATGTATTACAGTTTACTAATAAGTAGTAAACTCTGAGATTATGGAACTTTTAAACAGAAAAACAGTTTTGAGAACTTAATAAATAAGCTTCATAGATAAACTTTAATACATTGAAGCGAATATAATCGCAACAGTTTACAAAGGAAAAAAAATAATAATTGACAATGAAAAAGTGAAGAATTTTTTCATTAATACTATTCATAAATTCTCTTAATGCTATTTTTTGAAAATATTTTCACAATAATATCCAAACAGTTAAAATCAAAAATTTTGTTTAGTACATAAATAGCTCTATGAATTCACTCAATGATTTTAAGCATAATATTTTTAGCATCTTAAATTACAGTAAATTTGATTTGAACTTCAAGGTTTCCTCATTTATTCTTTATTATAAAATTTATTAATTTTATAATAAATAATTTAAATAAAAATTACGCTAAAGCCTTCATTCAGATTTTAATTTATTTTTTTGAAATAACATATAATACATTTTAAGTTTTTTCCCCCCTACTATTAAAGCATATAAACATATTAAAATTAATGATGATATATCCAGCCTCTATACTTCAAACATGGGTGCAAGTTGGAAAAAAGGCCAAGACTGAAAATTTTTTGACTGAAATACCTAACATACACAATACCCCCTCGACGTATGCAAACTATCTAAGAAAGCTTTACCATAATACATCAAGATTAAATACTGTACAAAAAATATTTATTCATCTGTCTTTTGATAAAATAACAACAGGACATAAGAAAATAGACCAATAACGTAGACCTAAAAAATATTTTTATGGACAGAAAAAAAAATTCCGATTTCCGTCTGCGAGTCAGTCTTGTTTCCGTCCGCGGACATTTTTGAAAGACGGGAATCCGTCCTGGGGACGGAAGACTTGCACCCATGACTTCAAATTATAACAATGATAATATTTGAAAAGGTTTTACAGTAGTTCCTATAAAACTTTTAGTTAAGGAAGAATAATCTTTAATTTTAATTTCAAAATAAAGAAATATAAGTTTTAAGTTGACAGAAAGCTTTTTGGGTCATTACAAATCAAAAAATAAAGAGAGGGAGAATCAAGCAAATGTTCGTTTAAAGATGGGCACTAAAATATTTTAGCGTTGACGTGAAATTGAGTTAAATAGGGTGAATTTAATTAAAAGATATATTTTATAATTTAATTTTTAAGTATGTAGGACTCAAATATATCAAACAATACACATAAAAAACTATAAAGAGTTGACTCAAAAACATTCCAAGGTGACCACAAAATCCCTGATTTTCCTAGACTAATTTTATTACTTATAAATTTTTTTCAGTTATACCTAGTTCTTACACATAAAATATATTACAAAATACTTATAACCAGCTATTAGTATTTTATTAATTATAAAAACAAGTTTTACAAGACTTATTTTTTAGAAAAAAATCATGAACTTTAAGGCACCTCAGACTTAATTAATTTTTCCTGACTTCTTGTTTATTTCAATTGAATTTCTCGATATTTTCCTTATTTTTTGAGATAGATAAAATTCCTCGACTTTTCCATATTTCCTATTCTGTGACAACCATGCATTTTTAATAATAGTTTATGAATGTGTTTTATCGTAATTAAATTACAAAAATATGAATTTAAAAGTTAATGTTGGATGGGAAAAATTAAATAAAATAATAAGCTTATAAAACACCATGCATTATTTTTATATGCTATTGAAAATAATTATTTTATGGTAAAAATGTTTTAAACTACGAAAATATAATTAAATTTTTTCCAACTTTCAGTGGATAATTTAAAAAGAAAATGGTTTATTGCAGGATTAGAAAGAAAAAAAAATCATCTCTCATACTTATGGTTTTATATCAAAAATTAAATACTAGATTTATTATAAGCAAACTCTTAAATTTTAGTTTTATTTTATAGAAAATAGAAAACGTATTAAAGTCAAGTGAAAATATTAAGAATTTATTTCAGATAGAAAAGGTATTCAATTTCATGTTAACTTTGGATAGTTATATGAATAAGATTTCCTTAATAAGTACCTAATTCATACTTTAGAATATTTTTTGTTGCATTTTATTCACTGAAATCGGATCTATTACCAAATTTTAGATTTAATAAAGATTATAAGCATTTTTAAAACTTGAAGTTTGAAAAAGTTTAAAAAATGTTTACAACTTTTAAATTTTGTAACTAGGTTTAATAAAACACATTTCTGTAAATGAAATGAAACAAAAAATATTCAATATTCAAAATATCCAGTTACTTAATCTTCCACAAGTTAACACAATGGAAGTGGAATTCTTTTGTCTCTGAAGTCATGACTTTTAAACTATAAAATTATTTTATTCCAATTAGATACTAAAATAAATTTTAAGGTTTATCTTAGATATAATACAAAGGTTTCTGTCACTACCTTTTTTATAACATGATCATGATAAACTGGTGCTTTCATGCTTTAATGTATCCAATAGTTGTGTAATAGTGTTAACATTGATGCACAAATGCCACAATTCTGTCCATTTATTTTACTGTGTTTCATAAAACATTTTTAGGGAGCTTTTCAGTGTTAGACAAGTAGTCCGAAATACAACTTTTAAATGCTCAACTATTTATTTGCTCTTTACAATTTATGTGAATCCTCAAATATTGTTTTTTCCAAAAACCTTTTTACCTCAACCATATATATAGTGCTTTAAATTATTGCATTACTGTGTATATATTGTATATGTGAGTTATATTTGTGTTGCATTTGTGTCAATAGATGTGATAATTGTGTTCTGTGCTGCGATGTGATTGTAATTGTAGGCTTGATGACATATTCTTTAGATAAAGAAAGACATTGTTAAGTGTTATATAATGTAGAGATGAATTTTATGTACAATTTTATAAGATGAAGAGAACTACAACATACCTCAATGATTTAAAGCAATAAAAAGAATAAGGAAAATCTCCTGCTATTTCTTAATCAACATTGAGCTTAATAATTCATTTGTTAAATCAAGGTTTAAAAACCAGTTACATTGACACAGAAAAGTTACTACAGCCACACCCGGAATCTTTCATTTTCCCATATGCATTGTCTTGTTTTAACGGTCCTGTCACAAATGCTATTCATATAGTTAATAATACCCGTTTAGATCATTTTTGAAACTAACAGACTCCTACCTCCATTGCTTAGAAATTCAAATTTCCACAAAAATATTGAAGCTAATTCACAAAATAGTAACTAATGATGAAGAAGATATAGAGGATTTCTTACAGTTTGGGTAAAATGCTTCAGACATCACATTTGATGTCTGAGGACATAACCAAGACTCAAAGTCTTTGAAACAATAAGAAACTTTCTATATTCATAGAAAATCAACAGCAATCTGTTACATATGTTAATGTGTCAGGAACTAAAGATTGTGTTCTAACTGAAATTTTGAAATATTTTAAATAAGTAAATATGTTCCATTCATTCTTCTTTTGCATCAAGTACATAATTTTTCAATTAAATTTTTTTTAAAACTAATTACTTATTAAATTACTTATTTTAAAATCCATTAGTTCATTATTTTCTTACATTTTTTAGTGATTGTGCGATATTTTAAGTTGACCTGCACCGCCCCGCAGTTATAGTTTGTAATGAATGGTCCCTGGAGAATTCCAATTGTTAACAATTAAACAATAAAGCTTGAATTTACTAAAATGTAAAGAAAAACCTTCTGTCACATTGTACTTCAAATGATAAGATTTTTTGAGATTGCATTTACTAAAATGTTAACTAGAAACTTCACCCAAAGTACTTCAAAAGTTAGACTTTCTGATACAGGGTTTGTACAATATTTAAGAAAGATAAATAAATAAATAGAAGTGAATTATCAATAGTGAATATTCTCTCATTTCAATTCCTTTGTTTTAAAAAGTCATGTCTAAAAAATTTAATATTTGGCATAGCTTTTAATTTTAAATAAGACTGTGGTAATCATAAATGTATTATGCATCTTTATTTTAAAAAAAATCATTAAAAAATTAGGTAATTTTAGCACAACTTTTTATTTTATCAAGATTTTTTTGACATATTACTTTTTTTATTATCAACAATAAAAGGGAGTCCTTACTGAAAGATTTAAATTAGAATTCTAGTTTTAATATGGATTATATATATTCAAAAGAGTCAAAAAATTTTGAACTGTCATTTTTATCCAAATTAAAAATGAAAAAAAAAATCAATTAAAAATCTACGATGAACACCATTTTTCTATATCAATCAGGATCAAACCCAAAATCAAATAATCACATATCAAAATGATTCATAAAAAACCTTAATCGCTTGGAGGGATAATATTTGTTATAACTTATACTTCTAATGATTACAAAATTAATATTGTTTATATTTTCTTTACAATGTTTGTTTATTTTGAAACAAAAAAAGGATGACCCTAACTACTTTTCTAAAATGATTCGAGTTTGGATAATTATATTTTATCAAACAGAATATAAAAACTCTCAATAACATAAATAAGCTGGGACCCAAAATTATATATTTACAGATTTTTATTTTTTAAAATAGTATTTTTATTAGAATAATCTTAGATCAATCAGATACATATCGAACACTCAACTATTAAAAAACAATAAGCAGGGCCGGATTAACCTATAGGCACACTAGGCACGTGCCTAGGGCCTACGAAATTCAGGGGCCTACGAAAAACTTGGGAGAAAAAAATTTGTTGACAAAAATAATTTAGCTTTAAAAACAACAAGTGTATTTTGCACAAAATTATGAAGATACAAATAAAAATATAATATTTTTCGGTAATAAATTATTTTGCAGAATCTTATGATCTAATATATTACTTTTTTGCGATTTTTGGATTCAACGAAATCTTGTATTATGCTGTCGAATTCCAAACTACGCAAAATGTCGTATTCAATAGACATAAGTGCGAGAGATGCCAAACGATCTTGATTCATTGTTGAACGCAAATAATTTTTTATAAATTTTAATCTGGAGAAAGATCTTTCTCCTTCTGCATTTGATCCAAGAATCGACAAATATATTCTTAATGCAATGTGAACGTTAGGAAAAGTATTCACAAGTTTATCTTTAATTTGAGCCTTCAACATTTCTTGTGCAGATTTATGCTCATACAAATTTGAAAATAGTAAAAATTCATCTACAAAGTTTTCCTCTAAATCGGAAGAGTAAATTTTCACCAAAAATGGTATTATCGATATCAACTGCAATATCGGCAGTATGTCGGTATTGCAGATAAAGTTAGATAAACAAATTCGTAAATTAAAACCCATATTAATAAAAATGTAAAAAAAATATATGCAAGAAAATTTTAGCATATATTTTGAAAAGAGGGGAAGGCCCTAAAACGGCTATGCCTAGGGTTTACGAAAGGTATTATCCGGCTCTGTGCCTAGGGCCTAAGAAAGGTATAATCCGGCTCTGACAATAAGGTATACTGGCCATGCTTTGCCTTTAATTTTGCTGAGAAATAAGTTACCATTTATATAAAATCAAAACAGAAAAATCAACTTCAAAAATTCCATCACAAAACAATTTGTTAAATTTTAATGATTTTTAACAATTTTGAAACGTTTTAGAAAGATAATTTTGTATTAAAACATAGTTTGTTTTGAGATTTTTAGCAAAAATATCTTTGTTCGTGTGTAATTTAAGTTAAAAGAATCTTTCCGCCTCAATTATTTGGTTTGCAAAAGTTCAAGGGACTTATTCTCATAATAAATAAAAAATACAGCATTTTTAATTTCTATTGCTTTAAAATCACTAGAAAATATAACACGTTCTATACTTTTAATAATACAATTAAAATTGATCCTAAATATTTCAAAAAAATTATACTCATAATATTACTAGAAAATGCAGATTAATACTTTAATCAATAATTTACTTCACAACTTCAATCAAAATAAAATAAAAATTTGTTACGAAATTTAAGTATATTATCTCCAATTTTTTTATTATTTATTAGTAGAAGTAACAAATAATATATTAATTAAAATCATAAAAAATTAATGTGAACAATATCCGAGATACAATAGTAAAATAACGTGAACAATAAGTAAAATTTATTTCATTTTGTGAAGCAACAAGAAATAAATTTCTAATTTCTATGCAATAATTTTTTTTGTTGTTAATTGTGAAGTATACTTTAATCAATATTTTTCTTCACAACTTCAATCAAAATAAAAATTTCTGTTACAAAATTTAAGTATATTATCACCAATGAATATATTAATTAATAGATATAAAGAATTAACGTGAACAATATTCTTAGTTAAATAAGATTATTTATTTCTGTGAAGCAATATATAAATATATATACATGAGCAGTTTATAAACTAGAATGCTATTTACAAATATCTCAACAATTGGTTCGATTACAGAATGAACTTGGATGTAAAAAATAAAAAACACAAAAGTCTATTTTTGAATACAGTTACCTATTCTGATAAAATCTTATTGAATTCAGATCTTGGATATTTTTCTAGATATTTCTGAATAAATTCACAAGTAACTTTTACTTTAAGATTTTTGTCGATGGCATATTCAAATGCAGCCTAAAAGGAAAGAAAATAAACTTTTTAGAACTTGCAAAATTCACGTATCAGTTTTACAACGCTAACATTGGCAATATTAACATAAAAAACAACATAAGAAAAAACTAGTATATCTGAGGCTATAAAATATCAACATTATGAACATTTTTCAGATGTAATCCCATGAGATCTTTTTTAATTAAAAATTGTGAATTTATTATTGATTCATAAAGTGCCTTACTTTCACACATACCATTTTTTTTCTTCTTTTTATCTTTCAAGTCATGTGATTTATAATTTTCAGACATTTCTTTGTTTGAATTTGACTGTGCAAGCAATCATAAGACTGAATGAAGATTTTATTGAAATCTTAAATAAATGGTATTTCGTTTCAAAAAGACATTTTTACTGCACAGTAAGAATTTATTAAATAAATAAAGATTAAATTACTAACAAGTTGAAGATAATTTATACACGAAGTGATACTTGAATTATGTGAAAAAGATCATTAAAAAGTTCTCATTAGGAAGGGCTAATCAACAAATAAAGTATAATTCTCTTCAAGTTTCATTCTTACTTCACATTTAGCAATTATTTCATATGAAAAAGTGTGTCCAAGCAGGGGAAATAAATGGATATGCCAAAGCAAAATGAAAGTTATATTAAGAATCATTATACAGAATGCAAGAAATTGAATAACCCACAATAGAAGGGCTTCACTCTCAAAATCTTGCAAACAAGTCCCGTTCCGATGAACTCTCGAATCACATGCGAAAAAGGAAACATTAGCAATTACAATTGGTCTATTAAATAGGTTAAGACAATTTTTCCGTTTTTGTGGTTTGGTTTAAAGGAAAAACTTCAAATGTTAATTCTTATATGTTTAAATCTAAAAATAGAAAAAATGTCAGGATGTGAATAATAAAGTGTGAGAGAGCTTTTAATTTTCAATAATAAATTAAGAAGGAGAATTTAGATAAAGGAATAATATATGAGTTTTTAATGTTACACCCCTTAGCAATATTTTAATTACCACCTAAATAAGTAAAAATAAAATAATCTATATGCAGAAGCACAATTAACATGCAGATTAAAATTAGTGATATTAACATATAAGCAATACATAAAAGTAATATGAATTGTAAAAAACACTTTTGTAAAAATGGTAAATAATTTAACATACTAGTGTTACTAATTTAACACACAATTTACTGTAAGTAAACGTTTGAAGGCCATACTTTTCAATTAAATGAATTTTTTTAAAAATAGTAATCCAGGCAAAATATAGTTTTTCTGACTATCTTTCAGTTCAAAGTCGTTTGTTCATATTTCTTGATGATAGTTTTTCACCAAAAAATGCTATTTTTCATTCTTACAATTTTCAATAAGCATATTTTAATTCTGGATTCCGCAATTAAAATAAATCCTGTTAGGTTTGAAATAGCAGTGTGGCCGAGCAGGAGAAATAAATGGGTAAGCCGAAATAAAATAAAAGTTTTTATTTAAAAACATGAAATCATTGTATAGCGAGCAAGAAACCGAATAATCGCATTGCTTCACTCTTAAAAGCTACGGAAAATCTTACAAACACGTCCAAGCAACTCTTAAATCACATGCATAAAGGGAAACGTTAGTAATTACAACTGGCACATTAAATCAATCAAGGGAATTCTTTGGGTGTCATGGTTCTGTTTGAGGGAAAAACATAAAATGCTAATTCTTGCATACTTAAATCTAAAAATAGAAAAAATAAAGACAGGATGCGAATTTTAAAATGTGAGAAAGTTAAGGTTTTTAAGTTATGTTAATTTTATGCTTAGTTAAGGATTCTTATGCTACCTACATATATATATACAGTGGGTGATCGGTTAACGAACAGATCGGTTAACTAACAAATCGGTTAACGAACACTTTCACGNCTGTTAGGTTTGAAATAGCAGTGTGGCCGAGCAGGAGAAATAAATGGGTAAGCCGAAGTAAAATAAAAGATTTTATTTAAAAATATGAAATCATTGTAAGGAGAGCAAGAAACTGAATAATCGTATTGCTTCACTATCAAAAGCTGAATCTAGGGAAAATCTTACAAACAAGTCCCAAGAAACTCTTAAATTACATGCATAAAGGGAAACGTTAGTAATTACAATTGGCACATTAAATCAATCAAGGGAATTCTTCGGTTGTCATGGTTCGGTTTGAGGGAAAAACATAAAATGCTAATTCTTGCATACTTAAATCTAAAAATAGATAAAAATAAAGACAGGGTGTGAATTTTAAAGTGTGAGAAGGTTAAGGCTTTTATGTTATGTTAATTTTATGTTTAGTTAAAGATTTTTATGCTACATATATATATATATATAAATTCAATTTAAGATACATAATGCAACAAGAATGAAAACCGAAGAGAAAAAGAGTAAAACACACACGATTTCAAGTCACAATAGCGCAAAGCTGCTAATATTATAATTGGAAAAATATTTGAAGAAAATATAAATCAAAATAAATTTTTACCTGAGATAAAACTGAGAAGAATAATATAACAAGAAAAATCCAAAAAGCAAAAACAGGAAATAGCATCTAAAACATCATAACATTGATACTATGGTAGACGTACCATAGCATAAAGCTAAGCATTACTTCCCCTCGGAAGGCAATCCTCTACTAGATCAGATACCTGTTTATAAATCCAATCGGGATACTATTATTCAAAAGTTTACGTAAAGATTTACAATTATTTAAAATAAGCATATCATTATTATAAATAAACTTAATGCGATTAATTTGGGATAAAATTACGTTTCTGTAGATAGTAATAAAAATGATACAATTCCAGTCAATTAATTTGTTGAGTGGAAACGGAAAGTAGTTTCTTTTATCAAAAATAACAATTTGATTGTTAGACGAGTTTGTAATGAATAATACATATAAACAACTTCAAACGCTTTACAAATTCATGATAACATAAAAAAAGAAAAAAAAATTCACAATTTTAACTAAATTCAATATACAGTTGCTCATTTTGTTTTAAATTGATGATCATACTATTAAATCATGCAAAAATTTAATTTTAAATGAAAATAATATAAAAATTTATAATTTGATTCAGCATTTGTTTAATAAAATGATTAAAATTTTTTTTTCAATAATTTCAAAATGAAAATACAATGAGATTTGAAGCTAAATATCTTTGACAGAAGTAAAATATTAAATAATCCTTATAGTCCTAAAATTTAACAAGTCTGAGGCAAATGAATTAATAATTTCATTTTTTTAAAAATAAAATTATAAAGAGAAAAATCATACTATTTTGAAATGACGATCAGTATCACATTAAATTGTTTAATGCAATTAGATGTTAAAACAGAAGAAAACCCAACAATTCATAATTTTTTTGAAAAAAATTTTACTTTTAAAATTTATTCAGTTTTTTATTTCTTTTTCTTTTTATAAAAATAACCCAAGAGTACTAAAAAATTTAATAAATCCAAAAACAAAAAACAGTAAAAAACCTTAAATATTCAATACAGTTAGTGAACTTTCCATCACACATGACTGTCCACAATTGAGAATTCACCGTTAAATCAAATGAATAAAAGGTAGACAGAATCTTAGAAGTGATAAAGCTATGTGATTTGTTGACTGCTCTGGATACACATGGAAATACTTTATCCGTGAAGGATACTCACATCAATTTCAAAGATACTGATCTATAAATAGAACAATATGAGAACCTCATCGGCTTGTGAGTGATAAAGACGTTAACGCTTCATCAGTGAAGAAAGAAAAATATATTTTTCAGTTGCGATTGTGGAAAAAAATTTACTACGTTTAGTTGTACCCTATATTCAGCAAAAATTCGAGATATACAGGATATTAAATATGCAAGAAATCAAACAGATATTACGAAATGTAGTACATGTGTACAAGAAAAAACTAATTCTTTGGAATCCAACTCAGTATATGTTAATGAGGATCCGCAAAGAATTCTCCAAGATATAAAATGTTAGGTGCTTTCATACCATATGGATGGTGGTACGCCGAAATGGATCACAGTTAAATTTAATAAACAGAACATTAAAAGAAAACATGCTTTTTACATAATTCCTGACAACAATTGATTCGACATGGCGAAGGAAAAATCGTATTTTGGATAAGAGAAAGTTAAGCACTTTTTACAAATACCCAAGGTAAAACAAGTCTGATACAAGGTAAGGAACAAGGTAAAAGGCCTTTTTAAAGGCTTTAAAAAACAAAATCAAAAATAAGCAGCACTAAGCACTTTTTAAAAAACACCTTTCATTGTTAAAAGAGATAAAAACTAAAAAATTAAAGTAATTATGGAATAATTTTTAACATGTTAGTAAATGTTATGTTAACAAGTTAGTAGACAATTGAAAGTTACACTATTCGGACATATTTATTAAGCTATCTAAAATCTTTTTTACTACCATGACTGATATGACACCTGTGACAGTCATTAAACTGAATTCAGATGTTACCATGAATGACCGAAATTAAGAGAATGTCGACTTTCACCGGTGAATGTCAACAATCACATAGTAGCTTTGGTAAATGTCTGAAATATTTGTTATATTTCCGATTTGATATTAATTTATTCGTTGATAATATTACATTTAATCGATATTTTAATATCTGCTGAGGATAGATTAGGAGAAACATCAGTGTTTGAAGAACCAGTTAAATGCATACTGGGCAGTGGCACCTTGACTTTAAAAAAACATTGATGCTAGGCATACCAGACAATGGCACTTAACTAGACCTAGTATATATTTTGGACATTTACCAAAGAGACTATGTTATTGTCAACATTTGCCGGAATAAGTTAACCACCAATTTCGGTCATTCACAGTAACACAGATAAATAATATTTTTACACTGAATAACATAAAAATAATTATTTGGTGTGCAGGAAAGCAAGCAGTGGAATTTTGAATGCATTTAAGCATATGTAAATTTCACACAAAAATTTTCTATAAGAACATCTCTTATTATAATCTTTTATGTAAATTTATAACAGGATAGAGTACAAAACAGTGTCTAACAATAGTAGACAAGAAATCATGACGTTTCGTTTCAAATAGAGATTTCTATAATTTAATTTAGCGCATATGCACGTAAATAAACACATATCTAGTAAAATTTAAATTTTTAAAAAAGATTTTGTTTAAAAAATTGTTAATTATACACACAAATTTTTTCTTAAGGCACAAAATAAATTTAACTTAGTAGAAATCTCAATAGCTTAAACTAAAACTTAACTTAAACTTTTTTTCCAATAACAAAAATGATTAATTTAAAAAAACAGTTATTAAAAAAAATATTTTAAAAATATGTTTAGGTATTTTTTATCATTTAAAGACTATAAAAATACGCAAAAAAGCTTTTAATTTCATCAGCTTGGTAATTTAAAGATAATTAATAAAATATTTTTTAACTATAACATAATAATTGTAAATGAGTAATAAATTAAAAGGCATATTATACTATTAAGGTAACTTTAAGCTGTGAATATACTGGAGTTTCAATAAATAATCTTTAAATAACGTTTAAAAGTGAACAGTTTTAAAAAGAGTTAGCATGATTTGCGACGTCATATAACATATACTATTAAACATATACTTTTATGCTAATATAAATTAAATCGCAATAATTGTTTTAAAAGATATATATATTTTGTACTGAGCACAGGGTTTTGATGGAATTGGAAATTAGACTAATAAAACAGTACAGAAAATATAGCTAATTACAAGCACTTCATTACAGCTCAAATAACAGCCTAATAGAGCAAATCAGGTTTCAAAACCTCAGTGGGTCAATAAACTAATTCAAGTCAGAACACTACTGTGGTCACACGCAAACTAATACACAAGACGATGAAGCACACTCCTATTTTCGACATGATTCCAGTCGATTCTTACACGACTCCTTAAATATTAGCAACTATCGCTTTGAAACGCAAAGTTTCCAGAACTGCCATTCTGGCCGTCAAGTCGGTAAAATTGTCCCTAAGCTGAGTTTTCCATAGGAGAGACATTAGGTGTAATTTTCTCTCTAAATTTTGTTAAACTGACTTGTTAAATATTGAAACGTTCTAACTCTATTTCATACTGAAATTATTTCGGTACTGTTAAATGAGTTTACAAAAAAGAACCACCAGTAAATACTCTTTAAGGAAAACAAATAGCTGTGAATAGACAATTATATAACAATTGTCTATTCAATGTGTATAACAAATGTTAGGAAACAGCAGTTAACAGGAGACCCTGCCCCAGGCAGTTCATAAAAACTACACTTATTCTATAAGTCTAAAGTAAAAGCATTTTGAATAAATGGTTAAAGTAATAATAAATTAATAAATAAAAAATTCTACAATTCTAAATCCTATTCTCCATAGTATACATTGCAAAATGTAATTGTTAATAAATATCAATATTGTCAAAATTATCATCTTATGGACACCTCACAAAATGCACAATTTTTAAAACCTCAGGTAGTCTTCAATGAATAAACCACTATGTGTCCCTGTTTAGGATGGACACTCTAACTGGACACAGAGAATGCATCTAAATAGCTCTTTTGAATCTCATCAAGGCAGACACTCCATATTTTTTAATAAATTATTTTCTTTCTTTTCTGAATAATAAAAAAGTTTTTAAAAAAAGTGTTTTTTTATGGACAAAATAATAGAGTATAAAGAAAAGCATATAGTTTGGAGGATAGAAATTAAATAATTATAGTTTTTGACTAATGATTGATTGCATTTCGTTAGAGTTCTTTGTTCAATGATTGCATTGTGCCAAGAAACAACTACTCCTCTTTTTAAGAGATGAATAGAGAAAGATGCCTTACAGGTAAATTTTGCAACTATCTTTGTCATATTTCAGGGAGGAATTTCATATTACACACTTAACTCAGATCTATTTATAAGCATGACGTTATCTAAAGTGAAAATTTTCGTCCCAACAGCATCCATTTATCTGAGGTTTCACTGTACCGTAATAAATTATTTCTACAATTTAACAAATATTTTTTCTAATAAAAATCTGCAATTTTATCTCTTCCAATTTCCAAATGTGATTATGAATCTTCCAATATGTGATACGTCTTTTCATCAATCTGATAAAAACTTTCTTCTCCACCTAAGAAACCTTATTAACTAAATTTTCCCCCCACTTATAATATTACTAATGAGATTTCTAACAACTACTTCAATAATGAAATTAAAAATTATTCTTACATCAGCCAATAATTTGCCAAGTCCTTTTCCTTGTAAGGATTCAGGAACTATAGTGTGTTCAAGTTCAATAAGAGATGGCTTTAATTCATTATACTGCAAAACAGCCTTTTCTGGAAAATATATAATATGTAATTACGACAGAAATTTAAATTAAATAGTCATAATTTTAATAAATTTGTCAGGAAAGTACAAAAAATGTGTGACTCATCATTTATATTAAACTTTACCATTTATTGAAATGATAAATGGTAATTTACAGGGTATCTGTTACATTTAAGATTTTCAAATCCATGATTTTTCATGACTAATTCCAAGAATTTTTTATGACTTAACTAAGTTATTAGCATTATAATAACAATTATATATACAATTGAAATGATAGGTATAACCAAAACTGTTATACTCTGCATCTTCATATTTATTGATTTTAAATTTTTAAAAACAGAGTAAAGAAAGAGTTGAAGCAGAAAAAATACAAATGCAAAAAAAAAAATTTCTCCTTTTTTTCTGCAGAATTATTTTCTCAACATACTTTTCTTGTTCATCAGAAAGAAAAGAAATACCAGTGATTTTTCTGTTCTTATTTCAGAATAAAAAAAAAATTTGCTAATGACTGGCTTGCTTCAGCAAAAATTTTAAATTGATAAAATAAAAAAATAAAAATAATAAATAAATAAAATTCTGAAATCACAGAAGTTTAAAAGATAATTTGCTCTAGAATTGATGTTCTTCCTTTCATTTTTTAAAAGAACACTTTAATTTTTAAACACCATAAAAATATTTTATATTTTATTAAAATATGACTGTGAGTGGGGTTTTTGTTACGGTGGGGGGGGGCAGTAAATTCCATTTTAAAAATTAGATTTTTCTGCAACCTAAATCCATGACTTTCCACGATTTTTTTAAAAAAAATAGTTACATAAAATCATGACATTTCATGAAAAAATTTGTTCAATATCGAAATTCATGACTTTCCAGGTGCGTGGATACCCTGAATTTACCATTTATTACTCAGCTATCTCAATAAGGCATGAAATTTCAATTATGAAGATACTAGCTTGAATAAAAATTTTATTCGCCACGAATTTTACATCAATGAAAAAAAAATTTTGGAACTCTGTGAGAACTGTTTAATAACAAACCATAAATAAAAAATCGTAAAAACTTAAAAATTAAAACACATTTATTGCGATAATATTAAATTAATTTTTCCTGCTCAGCATTAGGCAGCAATGTTTCAGAAGCATAAATTTCATAAGTGAAAAGTGTGAAACACAGCATATTTTGTTCAATATAGAAGAAAAAAATTATCAGGGGTCTGTCTAGGTCAGAGGTGTCAAACTCAATTTTGCAGAGGGCCATATATTCAATTTAGAATATGTAGGCGGGCCAGATGCAAATAAAAAAAATTTACTGAATNGTAAGTGAAAAGTGTGAAACACAGCATATTTTGTTCAATATAGAAGAAAAAAATTATCAGGGGTCTGTCTAGGTTTTTCTGAGTGGTACCTATTTTGTGAAAATTTTGACATTATTTGTGAAAAATTAAAAATTATATTAAAAGATCGACACAAAAATATGGTAAAAATACAGATTTTCATTTCTTAAGGGATACAAAAATAAAATTCTAAGAAAAAGTATTTTGCAAAACTACCGTTTTTCCTAAAGTTGAATTTGTGAAGGTACCGCTAAAGGGTAGTAAATTCAGCCTGGACAGACTCCTGATTATGCTTGACATTAAAACACTTCCATGCANATTCGTAAGTCTTGCGCTATGTTTGTTCTTATTTATTTTCAAGACGGAAAACATCTGCTCGCATAATTAGGTGCTACCAAACATGCACAGAATGCGTGCTGCATGCTTTTTTAATTCCGGGTAGTTATCCAAACTCTTGAAATATTGTGTATAAAATGTAAGAGCATTAACCTTTTTAAATTTTAATACTGTCCGATTGAAGATTTATCAACTCCATTTGCAAATGAACTGGTGCCTGCGAAGCTTCAAAATTGAATGGATTGTTGAAAATTGGGAATTCCGTTTCATTCATTTTGTGGAAGTCTTCAAAAGGATTGTTGAATTCGTGATCAGATTTTGCAGAAGTTGAGAATATTGATCCAATTTTTTTTTTGGTTCATTGTGCCAAATGATTTTAAATGAGGGAAATGATCCAAAGTTTGATTCCTTACCTGATTTTCCCACAGCCTCAACTTTGTTTCAAAGGCTTGAATACATGAATACATTTGAGTGACAATCAGATTTTTACCCTGTAACTTTACATTCAGCTCAGTCAAGTGTTAATTCATATCTATCAAAAAGGCACAATCGATCCACCAATCATTGTCATAATCAATTGGGTTGCCATTTTCTAACATGAAAGCTTGAATGGGGTCAAGTAATGGAAAAAATCTTTCTAAAACTACTCCTCGACTGAGCCAACGAACTTCGGTGAAATAAGGGACATTTCACCGAATTTCACCGATTTTCGTCCAAATCTTGTAAAAACTGCCTGAACTGTCGGTGATTTAGTCCTCTGCTCCTTACAAAATTTACTATTTTAATTATAAGTTTCATGACATGGTCCATTTTTAAATGTTTGGATGCCAATGATTCCTGATGAATTTTACAGGGAAATCCCACAAAATTCCCTGATGTTTTCTGGTTCAATTTAGTTACAACGGCCGAATGTTTGCCAGCCATGGCAGGAGCGCCATCCGTAGTTGTGCTGCTAAGTATATTCCATTCGAAGATTTCGCTTGTTGCTGAGAAATGGCGTTACTGTCTATCTCTCTCGCTTGCCTAGGCACGCGGTGCCTTTGAAATTACTTATAAATGTAGTGTGCACATTTTAAAACTTCCGTAGAGAAATCGAGTGAAGTCTATAAAAGCTCTAAAAAACACGATTCTTCTTTCTGTGACACATCGCGATCATGGGCCGTATTGATATGAACCGGGGGACGGATGTGGCCCGCGGGCCGTATCTTTGACATGACTAGTCTAGGTTTTTCTGAGTGGTACCTATTTTGTGAAAATTTAGACACTATTTGTGAAAAATTTAAAATTATATTAAAAGATCGACACAAAAATATGGTATAAATACGGATTTTCATTTCTTAAGGGATACAAAAATAAAATTCTAAGAAAAAGTATTTTGCGAAACTACCGTTTTTCCTAAAGTTGAATTTGTGAAGGTACCGCTAAAGGGTAGTAAATTCAGCCTGGACAGACTCCTGATTATGCTTGACATTAAAACACTTCCATGCACTACTTCATTAAGATACAATAATGAAAACTAAATGAAATTTACTACTCAGCCTTAAATAATTTATTGCTAATGGCACAAGAAGATTTCAGGCCCTGTGTCAGAAAGAGTAAAAATCTCATGCAATTCATAAATGTGATTTTCAGAAATTCTCATACAAACAGTCATGGTGGCTCAGGGATAGAGCATTCACCTCCTGATGAGGTGAACAAGGTTCGAATTTCAGCGGTGGCTGGTTGTTATGAATTCTGCTCTCTGCTTGATCCCGAAGTTCTATTGTCTTCTGGGTTGAGTTCAAAATTACAAGGCTATAGAATTGGACATTGATAGTTGTAAAATAAAAATTGGGTCGCTTGTTCAATGCCGGTTATAAAATAAAATATCTTTGAGGGTAGCAATAAAACTGGTTGGTTTGGATTTTACCAAATGTTTTCTGTTAATGCTATTTTGTATAGAAATATTTTCCTACACAAATTTTTCAATGAATAGCAAGAAATAAAATAAATTTTTCTAGAGTAAAAAAAAAAAAAAAAACAGGTGAAGAAAACGTATTTTAGTGTTGTAAACTCCCAGCTGGGTATAAAAGTGGAATGTGAGTATACTGTGCCAAGCTTTAGCAATATTTTTATTCAAGACAATGAAATCCTGTCCTGCAGGAGGTGGTAACAAAAAGCATGCATGCATGCTTTGATATACAGGGTGTTCCAAAATTATCTTTACAACTTCAAAAATTCATAACTTCGAACATAAACAAGATATTTATATTCTGTCTTTTGCATGTATTACTGCAACTAATAAAGTTTTTTTTTTCAATAGGCTGAAAAGTTTTTAAGTGAGGATGTGGACACCACAACAGAAAGCTCAATGCGTCTCATGGCCGTATTCGTCTCAGGGTTCATAGAGACGAAATCAGATACACAGGTGCAACGGAACTTCAGGACAAATTTCCCAATCCAGACCCTCCATCCGTGCATGGCACACAAGCTTCATGAGCACCGGATCAGCATTGCATAAAAGTGGAGCCGGACGACCCAGCACAAGTCCAGAAAATGTGGAGCGAATACGGCCATGAAACGCATTGAGCTTTCTGTTGTGGTGTCCACATCCTCACTTAAAACTTTTCAGCCTATTGGAAAAAAAACTTTATTAGTTGCAGTAATACATGCAAAAGACAGAATTTAAATATCTTGTTTATGTTCGAAGTTATGAATTTTTGAAGTTGTAAAGATAATTTTGGAACACCCTGTATATAGCAGAGAAACTAGTTATTCATGTCATAGCTTTCATTGTTTAAGAAGCCTCTAAATTAAGCTTAAATGCAATTTACGTTTATGTCATGGATTTGAATGACAATAATAAAACAAAAACACAATTATTTCCTAATAAAACAATTGCAGCATTAACTTAATTCACAACTAGAGTGTTTTCAGATCCAGGTGAAGTTACACATAATGTAATATTAATCTTTTGTCAGTATATGATTGTATAATAAACTGCAAATATTAAAACTTTAAGAAATGAGGGAAATGAAATTTGCACAGCAATTTTCTGGTTACTAAATTCAGTCTCTATCTTACATAAGATATAGATTATAATAAAAATTCAGTATTTAAATTATGAGAACTGATTATTTTCTACTTTTATATATTTTTTATTATCATAAACCATTTTTGGCACATTTTTATTATTGCTTTTTTACCACGTGTCAAAAAGGAAAACAAATATTGCAACCCTACTAAATTCAAAATCCACCTTTATTAAGAGGATAGCTATTTTTTACGCCTAAAAAATATGGCATGCCTAATGGGCATGTCTAAATATGGCATTAATTTCATAAATAAAAAAATATGACATGCCTAAATCAAAAGTAAAATAGAGAAATAATCTCTAATAATTGAAATAGTAGTAAAAAATAATTCATCTAGGTACAAAATATACTGAGAATATATTTATTTTTTTATACTATACTTTTCACCAGGTTTTTTCTAAACTAAGCAAATTTTCGCTCAATTAACGTAACCCAAATTCTTGAAAAATTTCTAAATTTTACACTTTAACACGAATTTAAAATAGTGACAGCAAAACTTAATATAAAAACTTCAATCTCATTCAAATTCACTATCCAAAATGTAATAATTTCGATAATTTTTCTCCAACCACCGTCCTTATTTTTTTTATCTGTGTAGTAACAAATCTGTCAGATCCATTACTACAATGTCGACTATTAACTTCTAATATTATCTAACCCACATCAATTTTTTTTACATCTCACTCCACTCATCATTTTAAACATATTTATTTTGATAGCTAGTTATAAGTATTTTTAATCTAATAGTTTCATAATAAGAATAAAAAAGTTGAGAAAGATAATTTTTTATTAAGGGAAAGATAATTTTTTATTATTTTCAATAAATATATATTAATATAAGACCTGATCCTTCACCAAGTGAGAATTCTTTCATCTTACGGTCATGTTGCACTTGATATTGAGTACCATAGTATCGAGCCATTATCAATGTAGATATTTTCTTGCGAGTCACAATTCTTAACATTTTTCCTAAGAAAGAGAGAAATTTTTAAAAAACATTTAAGAAAATTTTGTCACATAAACATATATGGCACTTTTTTCCAAAACTATGGTATTAATTAAATGTGAGATTTTACATGATATTCTACAAATTTGAAAAAGGGGGATAGGAAAAATATCACTGGGTACCTCAGGGTTATGATTTGAACTATTTATCTAAAGCTTTTAAATATATTAAAATGCAAGTTTTTTATGAGAAGGCACATTTATGACTTTAATGATAAAAATCCAGATTATTTTAAAATTTGATGATTGTAATTAGCAAAAAAAAAAAAAATTTTTTTTCCCTTGAAAAAAAAACAATTTTCCCCCGAAAAAAAATTTCTTATCAGTTAGCTAAATATATTGTATTGTATTTGTGTATTGAATTGTTTTATGACAACATTTTAATTTCTTAAGAATTTGATGCAAAATACCTCTTAGAATTTTTAATATTGCAAACTAAATTAAACACAAATAAACTATAAATAAATGAATCATTTGGTACTTAAACAAATAACATTTTAATTATTTACTTAATTTTAACCTTAAATAGTCAGAATTTTCTATTTATCTAAAAATTTCTGTTCTTTTATTCACGATTTTTAGAGATAAAGTCTGTTTTTTATGCATATGATTTTAAAAGCCAACCCTGGTTAAATAAAATACAGGATAAAAGAGGTATCTCCCCCCTCCTACATTTATTGAATTCCTTATATTTCTTCACATTCCTGTTACTTCAAATTTATATGCCTTACTTCATGTTTTTCATAAAATATAATTTTATTTTATAAATAACATTTCATGAGATTTGACATATTCAAGCAACAGTATGATTTAGCTATATTCATCATCATCAGCCCAGGGTAGACATATAGTAATATAACTAAATTACTGTATGAGGAACTTCCTCACACAGTAATTTAGTTATACTATGAAAAAAAGAGGGTCCGTTAATTTTAGTTGGTACTACTATTTCATTAACATTATTTATTGTAAAAATAGTATAGATTGTTAAATCCCTGTACCTACTAATATTTATTGTTAATCATTAATTAAAATGCAATTTTAAAAGTAAGTAAATAAAGTACCTAGTAAATAAAACTAGCAAATAAATATTAATATTAAAAAAATAATATATTTTTTATAAGCCTCATTAATTGATAAACTGTAAACGTTCATTTATTATTCCACTTTTTTTTTTTCTTTACAAGTTTGGCTGTTAAACTATCAAATTTTTAGCAACAAATTTGACAATACATCATGCTTTATTTGGTGTAATTGCTTTTTTTTTGGGGGGGGGGGGGAATCTAAAAAATATATTTCAATGCAAATGGTTCTAAAAAAATATTTATTTGGNTAAGCAGGGGTCTGTCCAGGTCGAATTTACTACCGTTTAGCGATACCTTCACAAATTCATTTTTGGAAAAACGGTAGTTTCACAAATTCAATTTTAGGAAAAACGGAAGTTTCACAAAATACTTTATCTTAAAATGTTATTTTTGTATCCCTTAAGAAACGATAAATGCATATTTTTGTATTGATTTCTTAATATAATTTTTAATTTTTTACAAATTATGTCTAAATTTTCACAAAATAGGTACCTCTCAGAAAAACCTAGACAGACCCCTGATAAGAGAACATAGAGATAAACCTCTCCAAAGCAACTTAAATTACCACCCAGTTTTTGTATAAATAATAAATTGGAAAAAAAGTATATTTTAATAAAAAGATATAAATATAAGTTTTCTTTTTTTAAGTTGGTTCTATTCATTCGTCACCAAAACACTAATAGGGACCTTTGTCCCTGCATGTAATTTACACACCTCTAATAATCTGACGTCGTTGGAGAAGAGTCTGATGTTTTTTGCAGGAGAATATATATTTAACCAACTAATTTATCATTCCCCCCTGAAAGGCAATCAGAATTACATGAATTTCATGCAGCATTTTAGCGCAGATACCAATACAGATACAATTATGGCAAACATCTAAGCATTATGATTTAAAACAAGACTTCTTGACCTGGTATAAACTAAAAAATCTAACTTTTGCATAGCTTTTTTATAATGTAACTTGCTGAATAATAGATGAAGGTAAAATAAAGAATATAAAAGTTAATTATCATAGGTAACCAGTAAACAAAGAATAGGATGATGAATCTTGCTACATAAAATTAATGCTACAAACAATTATATAAATGTTTAAATGAACTCAATATAAGTTTTTAGAACAAGGGTAAGCAAAATTGGTAACATTAAATGGCTAAAATTATGTAACAACTTTGACATGAAACATGTAATCCAGGGTAGGGATTTTGGACAGGACATGTGGGTTTTACTGTCTTAAACTGTCCAAAATCTTTAACTTTGGTAAGATGTAAAAATTCTATAGGTGCCACCACTGCACACACAGAGCCGGATTATACCTTTCGTAGGCCCTAGGCACAGAGCCGGATTATACCTTTCGTGGGCCCTAGGCTTAGCCGTTTTTGGGCCCTCCCCTCCTTCCCTCTTTTCAAAATATATGCTAAAATTTTCTTGCATATTTTTTTTTACATTTTTATTAATATGGATTTTAATTTACAAATTTGTTTATCGAACTTTATCTGCAATACCGACATACTGCCGATATTGCAGTTGATATCGATAATACCATTATGATTAGTTCGATCGATAACTATGTAAACACTTCACGTCAACAATACAACAACAAACCAGCAAAGAAAACAGTGAAATTGATAGTGAGATTAATTACAAGAAATATTTATACAGTAGAGAACCAATTATCTGGGATGCTCGGGACCATCGCTATCCCGGATGTCTGAATTTCCCAGTTTTCTGGATCGACCAAAAAGTGTCATTAATCGATGTTTTATCGAACCCGAATTACAAGGAAATTACACAAAAATTTGTCAGAATCTGAGATTAAACTAAAAGCGCAAAATTTGGTGAAAATTTACTCATCCGATTTAGAGAAAAACTTTGTAGATGAATTTTTACTATTTTCAAATTTATATGAACATAAATCTGCACAAGAAATGTTGAAGGCTCAAATTAAAGATAAACTTGTGAATACTTTTCCTAACGTTCACATTGCATTAAGAATATATTTGTCGATTCTTGGATCAAATGCAGAAGGAGAAAGATCTTTCTCCAGATTAAAATTGATAAAAAATTATTTGCGTTCAACAATGAATCAAGATCGTTTGGCATCGCTCGCACTTATGTCTATTGAATACGACATTTTGCGTAGTTTGGAATTCGACAGCATAATACAAGATTTCGTTGAATCCAAAAATCGCAAAAAAGTAATATATTAGATCATAAGATTCTGCAAAATAATTTATTACCGAAAAATATTATATTTTTATTTGTATCTTCATAATTTTGTGCAAAATACACTTGTTGTTTTTAAAGCTAAATTATTTTTGTCAAAAAATTTTTTTCTCCCAAGTTTTTCGTAGACCCCTGAATTTCGTAGGCCCTAGGCACGTGCCTATAGGTTGATCCGGCCCTGTGCACACACAATGATTTCATATATAATAATAATTTGATACTTTTGAAGGAATTTGCTTTAACTTATTAGAGGAAAATAATATAATAGGAAAAGATTTATAACTTTTGAAACTCCACAATTCATTGAAAAATAAAAGTGAATACATAATCCTTCAAATATGAATAAACATGCATTAAATACTGACAAATTATATTTTTGCATTAGGATAAATAATACAATATTAATAATAATTGTTTTTAATGAAGCAAAAACTTGTCTTCATTTTGTTTCCTGTTCAAAAATGAACCTTTTATTTTTCACACTATTTTTTCTTTAAATTATGACATAATTTGAGTAATATGGTTTTGGACAGGATGGTTTAAACAATGGTTTAATCTATTCTGTTCTAAACCTTGCCAACTCTTTATAATCAATATCGATGCAACTTTTTTTAAATATAAAATTTTGTTTACCAGCAACTCATTGGTAAAAAATAATCTTAAAATAAATGTAAAATCAAAAGCAGATATAAATAAGATAGCCTAACAAGTCAAATGAATCAAATATAAGAAAGGTACAAGTTTACACAATTTTCTGAGATATTTGCAGGGATCTGTCTAGGTTTTTCTGAGAGGTACCTATTTTGTGAAAATGTTAACATAATTTGTGAACAATAAAAAATTATATTAAAAAATCAACACAAAAATATGGATTTATCGTTTATATAAAAAAAAAAATTTAGAAAATGTATTTTGTGAAACTACCGTTTTTCCTAAAGTTGAATTTGTGAAACTACCGTTTTTCCTAAAATTGAATTTGTGACGGTACCACTAAACGGTAGTAAATTCGGCCTGGACAGACCCAGTGTTTTCACTACAGCGCGAGAATCTCGCATATTTTTTTCTTTTCTCGCATTAAAAAATTATTACATNGACCCCTGATTTGTAATGTCAGAATTCAGGTTCTCCCCAAAGAATTGGTTTCTAGAACATGACATTCTTAAACAGGAAAAAAGAGCAAAATAAAATTGCAATCTTTCTGTCTCAAACACAAGTTAAAATTTAAATTAATTTAAAATACATCAGAAACAATAAGGTGCATTGGAATCCCCGAGGTCTGACAATTCCAGAAGAGCAATTTTTTCTCGTATTCTCATTTGCTATATAGTTATAATAAATAATAAACTTCGTGCATAGAGTATTACTGACTTACAATAAAATTCGTTTTTGTTAGTATTTATCGGAGAAATAATTTTAATATAGAAGAAAGAATAACAAAAATAGCTACACACTTGGACTTTGCGAAAGTACTTTGTTTACTATTTTCATTTCATAAAAGTTGCAGTTATTGACTGAGAATAATTTAACAAAAAATAAAAATGCAATAAAACAGTAGGAAAATTCAAATTGTAGTTTTGATTTCATGAAACTTAACTTTAAACGAACAATAAAAAGTGAAAACTTTAAATTTTTATTGTTCAGTATATTTTTTAGCTTAAGCTGCACTTAATAAGCTATAAGCTACTCTCACAATACGTCAAACTCATCTCTTCTGGAACCCACTGTATCAAAAAAAAATTTATATAAAAAATATCATAAAGTAATAATTGTCAAAAATCTATCTTATCTTATCACAAGAGAATGATATGAATATTGCATGATAAATCATAATGAAATATTAATTCAATTGTAATTTAAAATTGTTTTCTGTAGTAATATATAGAGGGCAGCACTATGCTAAACTACAAATTCAAACGTGGAAAATTATGACCTATTCAGCGGTTCAATGAACTCTAGACATGTTATGCGAATTGCCTAATTTTATTTAAAGGAAAGGAACTGGAGTATATAGTGGTCGATATATTATTACCCTCATTTTCATCCTAGTTTAATTTTTGCTTTCATTCTGTTCATTAAAAAATAATCTTGCTTATTATTTTGTAGTATAATTGTAACATGACTACAAAGAACGAAAAAAACATAGAATGTAATTTTATTGATTGGGAACCAAGAATGAATTGAGAAAGAAAAAAAAACCTGCTTTAAGTTCATTCATTGTTCGGTGTAGGGTTAGATGCTGGTTTTCAAAACTTTAAGATTCTAATAATTTGTTTAAAAAAAAATGAAGAATAATGAGTGGAAAAAAAAAATATTTGGGGAAGGAAAATTAGTTTAGTCTGTATTTTGAGGCAATTTTTTTTTTTTTTTTTTTTTTTTAATTTTTCAAATATTTTAGATTTGTTTAAAAACTGGATTAAAAATTTTAATTTCTAAAAAATTTTGACGAACTTTTTCTGCGATGCGGCATATAGAAAAATTGGAAAAATAATTGAGTTAAAAGTTAGCTTAAGTGGTAGCAGATTTGTGATTAAGCTTAAAGGATAGTTTTTTCGTTTGAGTTATCAATATCAACTAACCTTTATAAAATCACATGAAGAGAATATTAAAAATAAGTTATAAACTTTTAATTACAAATATTTTGTGATTTTAAACAGGCAGAAATTTATTAAAAAAATTAATTTTTCACTTTCATTCACATAAAAATTAATCACTTTATTTTCTCATCATAAACCATTTAAAATAAAAAATAACGTTTATCACAGTAATAAAAAATGAATGAGTCAAATTGCTTGCCTTTTCCTTTTATAGTTGTATTTCGCAGACATAGTATTAACTAAGAGTTTTTTCGTTGCGAAAAAAATAAAGAGCATTAGAAGTTCTATTTTTCTATTAAATAAAAAGAATAGTAAGTTTGAAATAAACGTTTTACAAATACAAATTAAATAAGATGATAAATTTGTTTAATCAGTATGTTTATTATGTTTATTATTTATTTTTGTTATATATTATTTATTATGTTAAAAATAATTATGTTTATTATTTTATTTTTAGGTTATGACAGATGAAATAAATAATAATAAATTAAAACTAAGAATCGGCAAAACAGAACTATTTAATGGTTAAATATTTTTTTCTCTAATGAAGTATTAAATATATTATTATAACGTGAATTATTTGCAATTTTCTGTAAGTATTGTTGAGCATTTATTTGATTAGATTAATTCGTTATTAAATTTATTTATTTAGATTAATTTTTTCATGTATTTTTTCTTGCAAAAAATATAAAAAGCATTTGAAAAATCCTTCAATTTATATTTATTTATTTATGCAAGAACATAAAAGCTGTTGAAAAGTCATTAATTAATCCTTTTCAAAGTTTTCTTGTTTTAGGCATTAAACAAAAAAAAATTATGAAATAAAAAACAGAAATACCATGATGCGTTTTCATAATTCCGAGAGATAAATTGTTCAGCATTTTTTCACTACAATACCCTCTGAAAATCAAAATGGATGATATATGGACTAATAATTTAAATGACATGACGTAATGGAAGGGGAACAATGGCAAAAAGGGGGGAAATGACAACAAAACTATTTCTTTATCAATTTATCTGTGGACAGTGGAGAATTCTTTGACTTATTTCATACATTACAGCTTATTTCAAAATAAAAAGTAGCTTAACTAAAAGTAGATAATATATAAATTAGATAGTTTATAAGTGATAGCAAAGGAAAAAAAAAGTCTGTTAAATAAGTCACGTGCATAATTTCGGTGCCATTTTTTATTTTTTACTTGATTGTCACCACTCTTCGTAGATAAGGTATAGGATAAGGTTCTCAGGTATAGGATAAAAAGAGATGATTGATTAAATTATGCAGTTTAAAATATGAATATTTTTTTTAATGTAACTACTTGGTTATAAATGGTTGTAACTAAAATGGTTTTGCATTTGTTCATTTTATGATTTCGTAAAAACATTCCCTGAAAAGGTGGGGGGGGNCCCTCAGGGGGGGGGGGGGATTGAAATGATTCGTGTAAACATAGACAAAATTATTCTATGTTATATGTCTTTTTCGTGAAGAGTATTAAAATTCCTTCTAAGAAGATTATTAAACCACATTTATGTAAATAATTTAAAAATATACGTACGATATAAATGTTTTTACATTAAGTAAATGCATTGTGGATCGATTCCCAGCAAATCTGCTTGATAAGCGATGGAAAGTGGGGAAGAGTTAGTTTCCTCTTTGTTTGTGAAAGTCATAGTTAGAGTAAATAGTGTGTATATAAATTTTTCACAACTTTTTTAAAAGGTGAGATCATAACTTGGACCTAAGCTGTAAGTGAAGTAAACAATTGAGTTTAAATTTATTTTACACTAAAATTTTGACAATAAATAGACAGTTCTGTCTCTTAACAGGAATCAACATAAATTATTGAAGAAGTTTTCTATAACTACCTGAAAAAATTACTTTTTCAACCAAAAGAACCAGTTTTGGACCTCCAATTTGTTTAATAGGAAGAAATAAAAAATAATAATACATGGCTGACGACAGAGGGCTACCGTGATGATGATGATGCTATAAAATGAGCCATAGTAACATTAGAAAACTTTTTAAAAAAAACTAAAAAAAAAAAAAAAAATTATTTATGTTCTGTGCAAATGTCAGCACTATGTAAGTTACACTGTACTCAATGGGAGATTTTTCGAAGAAAAATCTAGCGTTTCAGCACATTTCCAATGTAGTGACCGTTATTGCTAGATGTAGTGACCGACAGTTGCTATAATTTCAACAAAAAAGATATTAAGTAAGTACGTTAAATTTATTTATCCATCCTTTAAATCAATTTTCAAATATTTTAAAGTATTTTCTTGTCTTTCATTCTATTTTTTTTTTTTTTTTTTTTTTTTTTTTTTTTTTTTTTTTTNTTTTTGCAGCAAAATGCTAATTTTTTTGCTTATGAAATCACGCAACAACGTAATGCTGATAGTTTTTCTCATAAATTTATAACTTAAAATAATCTATTGTCTTAAAATTCATGATTTTTTTTTTCTAAATAGAAGAGCATTTTAATAGGAAAGTAGTCTAAATGTAAGTCTACTAAATATAATTAGAATATATTTAGAATAGATAACAAAAAAATCAATGCGATTTCAAAATTAACTACCGTTAATTATTGCTCTGGCCTTTTAAGAAATGCCCTCTCATGTTCATCTCAACTGCTTCAGTTTATTTTATCCTAGACTCAGTAAATAGTTTCTTTCAACTTTTTTTTATGATATGATCACTTCAATTCATCTTCCTCAATGCGCCCCCCAACCCCTATCTCTTAATCCCAACTATCCACCACAAGCATCAATAGTTCATGATGAATGGGAAAAGGCCCGCTAGCATTCGCAGGTGACCAATTAGATCGTAAGTTCTATATCTACATGATATACTTTTTATCAGAAAAAAAAAACTAGCTTGGTTTGGACAAGAAAATTCTCCAGGGACTATCAATAGAGGGTCCTCTACAGTTACGCGAATCGGATGCGTTGTATGGATAGGAAAATATGAGGGTATTTAAAATAAAGTTTCGTAAAATTCTGTTTCGATATTAGTATTAAATTGAGCCTATAAATTATCTAATTGATACACACAGTAATGGATAAACAAAGACTCAATAGTTATTTGAGGGCCCCACTCACAGAATGACTTCACAATGCCCATTCTTAAATTAGTCTCTAAAAACAGACTATTATTTCATAGATGAATCACTTTTAAAAAGAGATTCTCCTGAAATGTGTTTTTTTTTCCTTCCTTCCTTGAAACTGATGACCTTCATGTTCATGAGGGGGAAAAAACCCTACTGCTTATGCTTATCAAGTTCATTTTTCAAAATTATTGCAAAAGATTTAAAGGGGAAAAAATAATCACTGAAATATCACCACATTATTGTAATCTAATATATATAATTCTCTTACAAGGCTCCCAAATTTTGGCTGTATTTCTTTTCCGCCGGTGGCAACGTTTGCTTTGTTTTGTTTACGTTACTATTTCTCTTACACGGCGAATCGACCAATGATTGCCGCTAAAAATGTCACATGCCAAATCTACTGAGGTGGCTCAACATATAGCGCTTTTAAAAACGGAAACTGAAATAACCAGAGAGCATCAGCTGCGGCAATTTGATACTATTAAGCTAGGCAGAAGTGAGTAGTCTTTGTCGATAGATCTCTATCTTAGTATTTTGTCGAAAGCGCTTTTTTTCACGAATTTATATATTACGAATTTATTTGACGATTTTTTGATTTATATCACGAATTATACTATAGCACATTTTTAATAGGTTTAACGAATCACATGTCATTTATTTGAATTCAAATTTATTTTACTGGCTTAGTATTTACTAAAAAGATGTAATTTTTTTAAAAAAAAGAGTTTTATATGGATTTGAATGATTGTTTTGAATTCATAGAATTTTGTGCATTTGCAATGTACCTAAGTTAGTAGCGAGCGAAGCAAACCATATAAGATTGCGTAGCAATTTTCGGGGGTTGGCGAGCGTTAGCGAGCAGGGGGC